ACACATAGGATGTTGTAAAGTCATGTCTTATCAGGAGTTACTGTTAGGTTGCCCACTATTGACAATGTTAAGCTGATCATTAAGGTCATATGGTGACTGTCAGATTTCCCTATTGTAAATTTGGCCCTTGTAATTAATCAGTAATCTGTGAGGTGTTTTTTTTTTTGTTTTGTTTTTTTTTGGCAGTGTGGGAGTAGCCTGCAATCCAACAGCCTTTTACATTTTGTTTTAGTGGCCATTTACTTGATATTGAAAAATCATGATTTTCTAATTTTATCTCATCTTTTACAATTATTAGCTGATATTTTTAGGTATCACTATGGACTCATGGATGTTTTTAATGTTATACCCATTTACAGGCATTTCCCACAATTAAACAAATGTGGTCCATGGAAACCCTAGGGAAATTCTTCCAGGTGAAATTGCTTTGAATTGGGTTTTGCCTAGATGAAATAATACATATATATTGCACACAACTCAAATTTATAAAATGTAAGGATGTAGAAACTCTATTGATTTTACTCTAACATTTTTTTTTACATATAAGCTTTGTGAAATCAGGAACTGGATCTGTCTTGATCTGTGTACAGCACATGGTGAGTAAGAGAAATATTTTTAAATTAAAAATTAGTAAGTCTTTAGAAATGAAGAGTGAAGAAGTCAAGGCATGTAGGTAGGGAGGCCAAATACAGGTATTTAACTGAACTTTACTCTTCTATGTTGTTATAAGGTAGACCTTTGATGATGGTTTTCCTTGTTATATATATTTAACTGAGGAACACTTTTGAAGAAAAACAGGGTGGAGTGGAGAGCTTAACCCAAGACAACTGAGGAATTAGGTCATAGCTCCTTGACTGTGCTGGGATTCGGCTAAGCATGCTGAGTGGACCAGAAGGCCCCAATTCTCTAGCAACTGAATGTCAAACATTTCCTGTATACTTTTCTCCCACAATAGTGCCATGAAGAGTTACTTATAGCAGATACAAAAAGCATTTTCTATATTCTTTGCCCAAAGGATGACAGTTCAGTGTTTCCCTCATTTTCCAGTAGACAGGATCATCTGGTTTAGTTGTTAATTTCATTCTCCTGAGATGGAAGGGATAAAAAATGATACTGTATTAAAAAGTGTAAGACGTGTACTCTGAAAACTATGAAAGATTGTCAAAAGAAGTCAAACAACCCAAAGAAATGGAAAAGTATTGCATGTTCATGGATCAGAAGACTTACTAGTTAAGATTGCAGGACCTCCACATTGATCTGTAGATTCAACACAATGCTTATCAATATCTCAGTTAATTTTTTCTCAGAAATTGACTAGCACATCTTAAAATTTATATGGGACTTAAAAAGGTCCAGAACAGCTGAAACAATCTTGATAAAAAAGAAAAAATTTGTGGAGTCAATTCCCCAATTTCAAACTTGCTACAAACTATAATAATCAAGATAGATGATGGAAGAGAGTTAAGTGTCCAAAAATAAAACCTTATATTTATCATGAATTGCTTTTGACAAGGATGTCAGGATAATTCACCGATGGAAAGTACGATCTTTTCAATAAATGATGTTGGGAAAACTGGATAGCCACATGTAAAAGAATGTGTATGTCACACTGTAAAAACCTCAAACCATTAAAAATTCTAAATAAATCATATACCTAAATGTAATAACTAAAACTATAAATGTTTTGAAAGAAAACATGTATAAATCTTATGGGCGTTAGTCAATTCTTTTTTAAATATATCTAAAGCACAAGTAAACAAAAAATAGATAATTTTCACTCTTACAAAGTAAAAAAAAAAATATGCACCAATTGGATCAAGAGTGTGAAAAACCAATCAAAAGAATGGGAGAAAAAAATTGAAAATCATATGTCTGCCAAGGGACTTGTGTCCAGAACATATGTGGAATTTTTACAACTTATCAATAAAAGATAAATGATTGAGTTAAAAATGGCAAGAGGATTTGAATAGCTATTTCTTCAAAGAAGATATGCAAAAGGCTAATAACCACGTGAAAAGATGTTCAATATCATTAGACATTAGGGAAACACAAACCAAAAGCCTAATGCACTGTACACCAACTAAGGTATAAAAAACTAGCCCTAGACAGTGTGGTTCAGTTGCTTGGCTCATCGCCCTGTGCACTGAAGGGTCTTGAGTTTGATTCCCAGTCAGGGCTCATACCCAAGTTGCAGGTTCCATCCCTGGTCGGGGCACATATGGTAGACAACAGCTCGATGTTTCTCTCTCACATTGATGTTTTTCTCTCGTTCCCTCTCTCTCTAAAATCTATTTTAGGATGAGGGTTAAAAAAAGCAAAAGCAAAAAACTAAACCACCACAAGTTTTTGTGAGGATGTGGAGGAAATTGGAACCCTTATATATTTGGTCTTGATCCTCGTGGAATTAGGGAACCATTTTGGGGGTTTTTATGCAACGTGGTAAAATATCAAATTTTTGTTTTGAGATGGTAACACTGAGTTTTATGTGAACAACTGTTGCAGGAAAGAATAGATGAGAAAAACCAGTTAGGAGGATTTTGCAATACAGCCAAGGAAAGATGACAGCTGTATTTAGGAAGGAGGTGATGGAGCCAGTATTAACAAGACAGATCTATGAGTACTGAGGAGGAAATATTAACATGATTTAGCAATGGACAGGTTTGGGGTGGAACAGGGTAGGAAAGAGGATAAAATTAGTGATTTTTCCAGGTCCTGACTAGTGCAATGAGATGAATGGAAATGCCACTGAAAGAGATGAGAAGCCCTGAAGAAGATTAAATTGGTGAAAAAATGATAAATTCTTTTATGGCCATGTTGGATTGCTTCTGAGATATTTAAGTAAAGGTGTTAAGTAAGCAATTGGAAATTGTGGTCTGGGGCTCAAAGGTAATTCAGGACTAGAGAAACTATTTGGCTATTATGTCCTTCTGCATAACAATTCATTGAGTCCCTGTAGACAGAATTGTCTATCAGGAGAGTATAGTATAACTAGAGGCCCGGTGCATGAAATTCATGCATGGGTAGGGTCCCTAGGCCTGGCCGGCAATCAGGGCCTATTGGGGCCTTCTGACCGGGCCCTTCCTTCTTTCTGTGCTGCCCCCTAATGCCTAATCGTCAGCACACGTCATAGCGAGCGATTGAACTCCCTTGGGCCCTTCCTTTGTTCTGTGCTGCCCCCTAATGCCTAATGGTCAGCATAAGTCATATCGAGCGATTGAACTCCCAGTCTCCCTGTCGAACTTGTGAGGGGACACTGCATATTAGCTATATATATATAATCAGAGTGTTTCTAGGACAAAGCTGGGTAGAGTAAATGAAATCTAAAGAAGATGAAGACAGTTCAGCCAGAAAGTTAGGAAGAATGCCAGGGATGTTGAGATCTAGGAACCAGGAACAAAAGAGAAGTTTCATGATGGAGGCAGTAACCACAACACCTGATAGTACTAAGAGGACCAACAAATATTTATTTCATCCAGTGATATGAAGGTCATTGGAGGCTTAAGAGAGAGCTGTTTGGTGGAATGATGGAGGCACATACCAGTTTCTGAGTGTTTGAGGAAGAAGAGGGAGGGATTAAATGTATAACTAATAATTTTTAGTAAGACAGAGATTTAGCATGTTGCAATAAAGGTGGTTGCAATGATGCTGTTGAGTAGGTGAGACAGTGCAAGGTTCAGAGAGAGAATGCATGAACAGTAATGTAAAGTTATGGAGCAGTCAAGAGTGTTGGGAACCAAAATGCAATAGAAGGACTAGCCTTAAAAAAGTCAGAAGCACATTTGATGGGATGAGGAGAAAATGAACCAGATGTCCAATGCCTTGTGTTTTTGAGAGCACAAAGTTGACCTTATTTCATCCTGGACAAACAAGTGGATGATAAAATATGCATAAGGCTTAGCAAGCAGCATGGTGGGTCCATGGAAGTTGGGAGGAAAAGTGAATTGTCTGAAAACCTTGCACAATTCATATAGAACCTATGAGTCTCATTTTCTTTACCTACCCAATGGGAACATAATAATAGTTATCTTCAAGAGCTGATGTCAAGAACATGTGAACAAAACTCATGAGACAAGATTTTATAA